CAACAGGAGAAAAAAATTCATAATTTCAAATGGTCATGATCACATTTCGTTGCATCACCGAGATACAATATCTCTCTCAATTTCTCGAAATCATGAACATTTTGAAATTATGAATAATTTGTTAAACTCATGCACATATTTGAAATCGCAAACAACATACTATTACAAATTTCTGAACATTTTCTACAATCAAGAACATTTTTTCAATTTATGAATATTTTTTGCTATTTACAAACATTTTTTAAAAATTGTGAACATTTTTAAGCAATTTTCCTGAACTGGCAAACATTCTATAATCGATGAAAATATTTAGAAATTGGGTGGAATAGTTATTGAATTTGACGAACTTTTTTTGATTTAGCGAACATTTTTGGAAATGCCCGTGCCTTGCAACGGAAAAAAACTATCAAGTTATACATGTGTGGTAGATATAAAAAAGTATGAATCAAATTCACAAAGTATATACAAATCATGTCATGATGCGATAAGACACTTTTAAAATGTAATTTCAAAAATGAACAATATGATGCTCATCAAGACTTGATTTTTTAAGGCGTCACAACAAAATATTTTGTGGCTGAGCAAACTGCATTGACGGACCCTGCCTGAGCTATACTGATAAATAAAGTGTCTCGTCTGAACTTAGCGTAGCGGTGTTTACCATAACCACTATTGTGATATGAAAATAAGCATAACTGTGTATGGAAGTAAAATAGACATTTAGTCATTTTAATATAGCTTACAAAAACAAACCCTTAGAAAGTTATGTCAATTTTGTTGGGTTCAGCGTTGTATAAAACACGAAAACCCTTTTTTACCCAACGCGAAGGACTAAATAAAATCATAAAACGAGCTATATAGATCTCCTAATAAAACCTTTACGGAACCTACAATTAGTTTTGTTCATTATTTACGGATGTGTTTTAATTTTTGTGAACATTTTCTAAAAGCTGATGGACATGATTTTTAAATTCCTGAATATGCTTTGAATATTGGCTCATTTAAAAAAATCATGAACATTTTTTATTTCATGAAATCATTAGAAATCGTGATTTGTTTATAATTTGTGAGCAATTTTTTAAGTCGTGAACATTTTTTGATTTTTAGAATATTTTTTAAATTCACAAACAGTTTACCATTTTCCTACTTTTTTTCAGAACTCGCAATTGTTTGATATTTTGGAAATCCGAAATTAATTTTGAGATAAAAAACCAAAACAGAAATAAAAAAGTAAAAAGAAATAAAAAATAGGGGGCGCCATCAATCCGAAATTTATTTTTAGGGAAAAAACAAAATAGAAATAAAAAAAAGATATAGAAAACAGGGGGCGCCACGACCCGCACATGGGCTGGCCCATTACTGCGCTTGGTAAAAAGAAAGAGAAAAAGCATGAGAACCAGGGATCGAACCCCTGGTCTCCTGTGTGGAGCATCGTTGCCTCAGCCATCGCGCTGCTCATGCATTGGTGCTATTATATCATATCCACCTTTAATAACAGAACCCTGGAACGATATTAGAAATTAAAAACGAATCGTTTTTGCCACTTACGGGTGGCATTGGTGGGTAATTATTGCCAACTTCGAGGGTTGTTTTTATGACGTACCACCAGAAGCGATGCGTGGTTTATTAGTAGGTAAAGATATATAGGTATAGTAGGTATATATATATATAGTGCTTCTGGCGGTATGTCATTAAAATTGCCCTTAAAGTTAATAAATATTACCCACCAATGCCATTTATAAGTGACAAAAGAAGGTTTGCAGGGAATCAACAACCTGGGCCGGCCCATGCAGTAGGAACCTCCTATACTGCGCTCTGTTCGCGTGAGAATACGCAGCACGCCTGTTTGGGCTGGCCCATGTGTGGGCAGCATGTTTTCAATTTCGTTTTTTTCCTTTCTGTTTTTGTTTTCTCTACTTTAAATAATTTGAGACTAAAAAAAACTTCTGAAATTTAAAAAACTTAGAATTTCGAAACAAAATGTTCAATAAAATATAAAATGTTTTTGAATTCAAAAAATGCTCATCATTTTTCAAAAAATGATTGAATATTCAGGAAAATCGCATTTGGAAAGAAATATCCTAAAATAAAAAATGTCCATGATTTTAGAAAAAGTCTGTGTATTAAAAATTGTTAATAAAACTGAAGAAAATGCTTGCTAATTCAAAAATGTGCATGAATTTTAAAACATGTCCTAAAATTTTAAAAACAGTTCATGAACTAAAAAATAGTTTCTTGATTCGTAAAATGTTTTCCGATTCAAGAAATGTTCATACTTTTTAAAAAATGTTCCTGAATTTCAAAAAATAATCCACCAATTTTGGAAAAAAATGTTCGTCTAATCTAGAATTGTTTGCCAAATTCAAAATAAAATGTTCACGAATATCGAAGGTAAGTAGTTAAACAATAATGTTTCTGAGTCTTTGTGACTATATACCAATGTTGAGGATATTGCTTATCGTTAGCATCTCGTCGGGCCAGGATTAGAGATTAATCGAAAATCGGCCGATTAATCAATTTTATCGCTCGACTATTAATCGGTCATTTTTTTGCAAATCTAAGGTTCCTAACATTAAAATATGTTATATTCAACACCAAAAATATATTGGACAGAAGTGTTACCTTGATTCCTAGCCTCTGAATCCTGATAATGAAAAACAAAACAGGACAATAGTACATATTGCTTAACAAGGTCCGGAAAACACAAATAAATATAGTTTTTGCAAAAATAGAGCAAGTAATAGGCTTGATTTATCAGTAGATTCTCGATAAACCGCCTGTCAGAGAGACAAATCTGTCCAAACGATAAACAGTGAAGATAAGGCATAATCTTATCGGTCACCCCAGGAGTAGCGATAAATCAGACGGTAAATCGCTGAATCGGAAAAAAATTAAAACAGTGCTATATACCCGCGTGAAGTTTGAAGAATTAACTACCTGGGTAGATCGAAATATTATAGTATGTTTTCTAAAAAAAAATCTTGAAACTCAAAACAATTCTTTGAATTACCATTTATTTGACAACCCCGATATATTTTAGAAAATGTGAACATTGCTTCAATTTATGAATAAATTTTAAAAAGGGATACATTTTCTTGCATTTATGAATAAATTTTCAAAATCATGCAATGAGATGTGAGGAAAATGTGATCATAGCTATTGGAGATAATGATTTACTTTTTCTCATTATAATTAATTATAAAGAACGTATATACACGATTAATCACAAACACCACATACATACACGATTGCCACACACGATCTTGGCAGGCTGTCACCCATCAAGGCATCAAGCACGCATTGCACCTGCATCAAAACGTCGCCGTCAGTCGCCACCGGTGACGCGCGGGGCGAGATATACAATCCATGGCCCTCCTCCACACACCTGACCCACCGACGACGACAACAGAGATATACGGCAAAAAGTTGCCGGTCTCATTTGGCCTGTATTATTCGAGACAAGATAACCTTCTGACCCTCGATCAGAAACTAAACCCAATCATATTAAGCCGGCGATTTAACTCGAATCGAGCAACGGAAGATTCCAGAGTCCCCACGAAGCTGCGCGGCCGGACTACCGACTACCTGGACCTTTCTCTCTCCTCGTTCCCCTTCCGGCTACAGGTTAAGCGGGTGGCCGGTGCCGGTACTGACGTACTCCCTTCGTCCGAAAATATTTGTCGTTGAAATGGATAAAAAAAGATATATCTTGAATTAAAATACGTCTAGATACGTTTACTTTTATCTATTTTGATGACAAATATTTCCGGACGGAGGAAGTATTTATTGTAACACTGTATAGACGCAAATGCTTATACAAATACACCTACATTCATCTTTATGAGCGCATACATGTAAACTCTATTTATATGAGCACTTGAGAAACTGAGTCAGCATATCTGATAACATGCAGCAGCTGCCATGTTGCTCCAACCATTTCCGTCCCGTCGACTACACACAGTCGCCCCACATCTGTCCCACGAGAAATTAATCCAAACTTTCTGTAGTGTAGTAGCTTGTGAATCTTTTCAGCATGTAGACATATTTATAAATATGACTAAGAAAGAGTTCATTCTTAATTAGTTTTTTGCCAAAAAATGTCTTATTTATTAATAATATGTAGTAACAAAAGAAAGACCCTTATAAGCAACAAATAACAAGCAGGTCCTTGAACTCCTAGCAATGACTATAAACACATGAATAAGTCGAATGTGCGCCAATGTCATCACCCTCCTCAAAAGAGCCGACAAATTTTATTGTAGTTGAAAGTCAAAAAGTCATGAAGCTAAAGCTTAAAGCACCAACGCACCAAACAACAAACGTCGCCGATTAAAAAGAACATTGATTGGAACAACCATATCTACAAACACACTAACAACCATGAGCGCCCGTCAAAGCCACATGAATCCGTCAGAGACAACATAGCATATTTAAACAGATCTGTCAAAGACCAACAACGCAAGTAGATTAGCCGCAACTCCAAGTGTCTCCTCCCAAGCATGAATAAGGTGCGGGGAACACTATTTTAACTCTGAGACGTCGCTATGCCTCCCCAACCAAGACACTAAAAATACCTAAAGAAAATATGAGAACCAATATGAGAACACTAGCTTTTTGCTTCTGAAATAGACGTTGGCCTCTTTTATCCCCTTTACCTTTTCTTATTACACATATTGGCCAGGGAAATGTTTCCTATTTTCGTAAAAAAATCTGAGCGGGCAAAGACAGAGGCGTTCCCAAAAGCAATATGCCAGAATCAAGTAAATAACATAACGAATGAGCAGTCTCCTTAATTATATACGTCATATAGGGTAAACAAACTGATCAAGTTAACATGAATGGCATACGTACGAGACTATTCCGTGTATATTTATTAGCGGAAACGTCTATTATACATACATATGCACGTCTTCACCGGCCACGCATACAATGGAGTGGTGCGCATGCACAGGACAAGGGAGTAGCAGGCCGCCCGGCCGGCCGGCTGGCCGTGCCTAGTGTCAGGAGGCGACGCTGTTGTTGGCGTTCTGCAGAGACTGTAGCTGCGCCTTGCCGCTGAGGCCGCGCTGCCGGATGTGGGCCCGGTACTCGTCGAAGGTCATCTCCGGGTACAGCGCCGGGCGTCCCGGCGCCACCAGCTCCGCCATGGGCGCCACGGGCACGTCGCTCCGCGGGTTGTAGAAGAAGGCGAGCGATAGCCGCTCCTCCGCTGCGCTCACCGTCACCCGGTGCTCCACGCTCTTGTACGCCGCGTTGCTCAGCACCTGCGTACGTATACATACGCAGTTAAGACTAATACACCATTTATATACTTTCCCTATACACCAAAATAAGACGTTTTTGCAGTTGATTCCGAGTCGTAAACAGTACACCATTTACAATCAATTTGATCGAGAGGCTATTGGTGTCACACGTTAAGGGAGCTCAGGTGCAGAATAGACTTGATGGGCGATAGCTCTGGCACTGTGGCACCATCGAATGCAAAATAATCAAAGGCGTAGGCCGATTAGACACGCCTCTGGCTATAGCTACTGAACGCAAACTAGTTAGACCACTGAGTGGAGAGATATGAAAAGAAAGGAATCTTTAGAGCGACAGAGTAGGTGTCACTTGCACCTGAACCATTTTCTAATATGCCTATAGAGGAATATCACATGAAAGAAGAGAAATATGTCATTTCCTACGGTGCCTGAGTTGAGACCTTGCTAGTGCTTACGCCTACGCAAGGTCCAAAGCTAGCTACAAGTAGTAGCCTTTTTACAGAAGCCAAATTGACCCCAGAAGCCAAGGAAAATAACACAAGAGAGTACTACCTTGTGTGACAGAAATCATTCCACGTTGATCTTTGAACTTTTTCATTTTTCATTCTTTTTCGTTATAGAAGCGCGTGCTCACAAAGATAGCACTTTGTCATTTTCTTTTTGTTATTGCAGCGCATGCTCACAAAGGTTAGCACATACGTCTACAACAGTCAAGTTACACACCAAAAGACATACGTGTAGCAAATCGAGTATCTTAGGTGGTTATGTTCTTTGTGGACTACAAGGTATCTGTGATGACTTCGTCAATCTCATATTGTATTATCTCAAAGATGCTCATACGGATAAAGTGTATGTGTGTGCTTTTATAGGAATGAGTGTATGTGAGCATCTGCGGTCGTCCCGTGTTAAAAAAGACATATGTGTAATCAACTTAAAATTTCTTCTTACTCACATGAACGTAAAAAAAGGAATCTATACTTATCACTAACTTTATTTCTAACTATGTAGATTTGAAAAGTGAAAATGATATTCATATATGTAGCATTAACATATTCAAAAAGTAATTATTACTATAATTGTAAATCTTATATAATCAAATTGTCTATAAACAGTTTCTTTAGTCTTGGATTTATTTATTTTCGGAATCTTTAGTCTTGGATTAATATCCTATCGTTCTCATCTCACCTCACTCTGGACATAAACTATACACCAAAAAGCTCAATAATGTATTTTTAGGCTAACTAGTGTACAACTATTTATGACTAAAATTTAAAAACAAATCAGGTAACTGGAAATTATCAAAATTGTCATAAAATATCAAAATTTAAAAGCCTTGATCCTTTTTTCACTCGAGTATTTATGTCTATGTACAAAAGAAATATCATGCTTTTGGTGAATATTTTCGCACAGAAGAAACACATGAACTCTTTTTTTTTGCGGGAAGGAACAGATGAATTCAAAACATAGGCATAGAAAAAACGCTAGACTTGATATGTCACGTATCCGGAAAAAAATGCCTGAAACCGTGGTTTAGATGTGATGTATGAAAAATACCGGAATTATAGACACCAGAAGAATGAGAAAACAAACGGGTTCAAAAAGAAGAAGAAGAAGAAGAGAACATACAAATATGAGGTAAATTCATGTGATTGAAACATATCTTTCACGTGGATTCGTCATTATGCCGGGAAACAATCAATAGGAGACGCCTACACTTTGTTAGTTGGAGAAGCAGTTCTTGACAATTTTTTTAATGCAGTTCAACTGATACGTGTCGATACCCGAGGCTATCGTCCCGGACCCCCACTACCGGTTTCGTTTCGTTCCCTGCTTTTTCCCGGGTTGCACTCAAGTAGAATAGGTGCAAGTGCAACGTAGTACACCACGATTGCACGTAGTACATAGATACTGTACGTGTTGTACCTTTTCGGTGCTTGTAATGATTCACGACTGTTTGCCTAATTTGTTTGTTTTCTTTTCGTTGTACCTTTTCTACAATTTTACTTGGTTCTATATTTTTTTTGCATGGTAAATTTTCTTGATTCTATCAACTCACGGGTGCGTATACCATATGTGTATGCTGTCGCCTGTACGTATGTGCGTTCCTACCACATACACGTAACGTACTTCCGTAGTACGCGGCACGTGTGTATATACCTGGATCTGGTCTCCGACGTTGACGATGAAGGCGTCAGGGACCGGGTCGACGGTGATCCACTGGCCATCTTTCCTCACCTGCAGCCCCCGAACGTGGTCGTCGACGAGCAGCATGGTCATGCCGCCGGGGTCGGAGTGCGCCGCCACGCCCAGCGTCAGCTCCGGCTGCGGGCACCTCGGGTAGAAGTTAACCCTCATGCATGCCCCCTCGCCGCCCTCCCCGCCGAACGCTGCCTGCAGCCTCCCGCCGTCGAGTCCCAGCCCCTTGGACAGCACCTTTGATACCCTCCGGCACAGCTTCACCACCTCCTCGCCGTACTCCTCCGTCGCGTCCCTGCCATGCATGCATACACATCGGCCAGCTAAATAACTTGTGAATTAATTGGATCGACGAGCATGCGACGCGAGTGCATGTAGGTAGACGTAGGTGCCTGTGTGCGTACCGTAGGGTGGACGGAAGGGACGGCCACTTGTCGTGGCTCTTGATCGACGGCGGGAGGAGGTGCAAGAAATAGTAGTCGCCCCAGTCGAGGTGCCCACCCTTGGTGGTACCGAGACGGCTGCCGTAGCCCTCGTACGTCGCCGGCGAGTTGGCGTACCGCTCGCGCACCTCGGCTGGCTGCCTGAAGAAGCCGCGCCACGACGAGCGCGCCCGCCGCAGCAGCTCAGGGCTCACGCCGTGGTTCACCGCCTGGAAGAACCCCCACTCCCGGCACGCCGCGTCCACGGCACGGACTGTCTCGCCCGAGTCCGGCATTGACATGTCCACTACCGGGATGTTTAGGCTGCCGCCCCCATGTGAGACCGCCGGTTGGAGGGTCGTCGCCGACGGCCGATCCAACGGCAGCTTGACGTACCGCTCAGGTATTGTCTCGCCGCAGGTGTCCGACACGGCCTGCACGCGCACCACGGGCTCCGGCCAGCCGGCGCCACCGTTGAAGCAGCTACTCATCGGAGCTAGTGCCTAGCTTGAGGCGGGTAGTGTTAATAAGGCGCTCCAACACTAAGCGCCTTTTATAAAGGAAGCAGAGGATAAGGGAGAGACACAGTCATTATTGAGGTGTTGAGAATATACAATTGAGCTAGTGCTTTGCTAGGGCATGAAAGCAACCTATATAGGATAATACAGACACGTGCTGCAAAGATTAAAAGTAGCTACGGCATGGGATTAACATTAACTAGTACAGTAGTATGTAGTATTGTTTCGTGTGGCTAGGATTCTTGTGTGGACATACTTTATGCTAGTGCTTTTGTGGACTCTATACCCATCCTATATTATATATACTACTTTTAGTAGCTAGGTCAGTGAAACTTAACAATCATGAGCAAAACAATGCACGTTTTATGCATTCTTGCGCTTTGTCATGAGCATTTGAGCGTGCTATAACTCTCTTTGATCCTTTGCAGCTTTCGAAGACTATACCTTACGTATATAATTGTCTACAGGTCACATCGAGAATGAATAACAGTGCTTATTTGTGACATGTGTGTTAGTATTAATCTATGTAGTGTTGACTAATCTTTTTTTAAAAAAATTCGTTAGTACTACCTCCGTCTTAAAATAAGTGTCTCAATCTTAATACAACTTTGTATTAAAGTTAATACTACCTCCGTCCGGGTTTATTGGTCCCATTGTATTTCGTGCCAAATTTTGACCATAGATTAAACTAACAAAATGTTCACGCATGTCACCAAACATTATATTTTTGAAAACTATGTTCAAATACGAATCCAATGAGATAATTTCTCTTGACATGCATTAACATTTTGTTAGGTAAATTTTTAGTCAAAATTTAGCACAAACTACAAAGGGGACCTATAAACCAGGACGGAGGTAGTATAAAATTGGAGTATATAATTGTCCGCGCATGTATATATGTATATAGACGGTACTAGCTAGGAAGCCAATCGATTGGTTACATGCCTCTCGGATGCGGATACTGGCCAAAAGATAAACTTTTCTATTACTAAAAATCACTAATCTTATCTAGCTGATGTCCCCTGGGAGTAATTTCTGGCAAACACCCCGGAGCCCTTCCATGTAGATCTAAGGGCATCTCCAGCCGTTCGGCCCCCCAGGGCGCCTAAATAGAGCGGCATGGGGGCGTGCCGGCGCTAGTTCGGCCCCTGGGGCGACATAGCTCCCAGTCACGCCCCCACACGCCGGCCCCAGGATGTGGAAAATTCAAACTTGATCGTTCCCGCTCTCAAAAGACACCGCAAATCCGGCGATTGGATGGACGTAGTCTGGCGTTACAAAAAACAGAGCGCCGCCGTGCGCAACGATTCACTCGGCGGGGTCGGCTTCAGGCGTTGGCGGAGTCGACGTGTGCGGGCTCGTCGGTGTCGGAGCTGCTTCGGTGCAGGGCTGCGTCGGCGCGACTTCGGCACTGCTGGACGGCGATGTAGAGGCGTCGTTCGGGCTTGGCGTCCGTGCGGTCGTGGGCGTCGTCGGCGTTGCCGTCGGCAGCTCGTTCAGGATGAGGCCGCGCTGCACCAGGTACCACGCCTTGAGCTTCTTGTCGTTGCTCTGGAGCATGTCCGCACCGCTCATCAGAAAAGCCATGTCGGTGTTCCTCTTCTTCGCGGCGACGTTCGTCCGGAGCAGGTCGAGCTTGATGGCGTTGTTCTTCATTAGCGACGACCACCGCGCCTCGGTCTTCTCTTCGCGTAGGACGGCCCGGGCCTGGGCGTCGGCGAGGCAATGCTCGATGGAGTCCTGCACTCGCGCGGTTGCTGCGTCGGTGCTTTTCCCCTTCTTTGCCAATTTGTGGCCGTCCGGCCGTCCCTCTGACGCGCCCGGAGTCGTCGCGTCTGGCTTGTATGTCTCCTTGGCCTTGTCGAGGGCACGCCGGACTTCCGCCCACTTCTCGTACTTGTCAATGCGCTTGTAGACGTGGAGGTGCTTGAACTCGGCGTCTTGGTTGTCGCCCCGATACATGGCGAACATACGCAGCAGCTGCGCGGAGGGGCAAACAGTTGGCGGGCGTAGGGGACGAAGATATGCAGGCGAACGGCGCGCGTACCTGATCCTCAACACTGGCGCCGCTCTCCGGGCGAGCCGCGACCTCCTCGACGATTCCATGCCATTTGTTGCACGCCAACTGGATACGCCCCCAATGGTTCGCCATCGCCTTGGAGCCACGCTGCATATAGACGCCTTTGAAGTAGGGGTCGACGAGCTTCCGCTCGTCGAACTCGGCCTTGATGCGGTCCCAGTACGTGTCCAAGCTCTGGTTCACGCCGGTGGTCGGGTCGAGGCAGACGACTTTCCATGCTTCGGCGAGGCATTCCTCCTCCTTGGACGTCCACTTGATGCGCGGTTCGCCTGACCTAGCCGCCCGCTTCTTCTTCTTCCGGCGCCCCTTCGTCGGAACAGGAGCCGGCTCCTCCTCCTCCTCCTCCTCCTCCTCCTCCTCGGGTTCCTGCGCGTCGTCGCCGTAGACGTAGCCGAGCTCGGCCTCCATGTCGCCGTTGAGGTCCACTACCTCGTCCTGGGTGGCGAACCCGGGAGACGCGGCAGCCGCGGTCGATCCTGTCGCGATGATGTTGTCCATGTCGGCTCCCGTGTCGTCGGCGTCGCCGAGGTGTGAGAAAGGCAGCGGTCCGCGGTAGAGATGGGGCGTCGGTGTGGACGTGTAGGAGGCGGGCGGCGAGTAGTTGTATGGAGGGTACTGCACGCCGGCGAAGGTGGGCGAGGGCGTGCGCGTAGCGGGGTGACCATGAGGGAAGGTCACGTTTGGGTTGAACCCACCGTGCGCGTCGCCGTCGGCGTAGCCGGGCGACGATGAACCCCATGGAGATCCGGCGCCTTGCTGTCCCCAGGGCGCGTACTGGGCGTGGCTGACGACGGGGGGATTCATCCCCGCCTGGTCGACCGATGAGGAAGACGCCGCCGCGTGCGCCGCGTTGTCGCGGGCCTTCTTGGCTATGGCCCTGTTCCGCCTGTCGGCGGTGACTGCTTCGCGCCACTGAACTTCCACCCTCCACTCGGCGTTCGACAGGCCCGGTGGCTTCGATGGCGGCGCCCTCGGCTTCTTCTGCTTCGGCTGGGCCACGGCGCCAGTCGCGGGTGCCGCCGCGCGCGGCATGGCATACTTCTTCGGCGGCATGGCGTGCTTCTTTGCGGCGAGCGGGAGGGGGTTTGGCGGGAGAAAGGGAAAGAATGGCGGGAGGAAGGCGAGCGAGCGGGAGAGATGCGAGGGAAAAGCGTCAAGAAACGGCGGGAAAAGGCCCTCGGGTCGCTTTCAGGGCGGGCCCACACGCCTTTTTCGTTTGTGCCGGCTCCCCAAGAGCCCCCCAGGGCGCCGGGTTCGGCCTGGATCCGCCGGCACCAGTTTTGGCCCGAGCCGGCGAAAAACGGGCTTCTGGGAGCGCGACTAGGGCCTTTTTTGGCGCCGGCGCGGCAAAATCGCCTAGGAAGGACCTGTTGGGGGCGCGGCTGGAGATGCCCTAAGGGTGGCAGTTTTCTACCAGAAATACACTAACTGACATGGCAGTTCTCAAAACTGCCAACCTTATATACATGAAATGCCACTCAGGTTGTTCACATGCCCGCCCCTAGCCGGAGACCGTTCGCCAACTAGCGGCATCCTTAAAAGTATAGATTCATTTCAATGGAGAGTACAACTGTGGACTTTGCAATTGACTATTGCACAAGGCGACCTATGTATTTATCTTTTATGTTAATTTTTTGATAATATACACTTTTATTTACTTAATGTGTAGCATCAAGCAGATGCATAACTTGATGAGTGACACCAGGCATTTGCATAATTAAGATGCACGCAGCCAGAACCAACAATTTAAAAGAAGGAGGATATGAATGATATATCGGCAACATTTTAGTTATATGTTACCGAAATGATGCCTATGTCGATGGAGGTGGTGAACTTATCAGTAGAATATGATGTCACCCATGGTTGGTGAAACTTCCTGGCCAGCCGCTTCAATCATATAACACTGCCTTAAACAACGGTTTGTACCTCGTTTGGTCCAGCGTAGACCAAGTATGAAGCTAGTGCGTAAAACAAAAAATAACAACGTAGGAAGCAACAGAAAATAACCTATGTATTTACCTATTCCCTTTGTACAAATAACATCCCTCCAATCATGTAATAGAAAGCAACAAAAGTTTACTCAAAAGGGACAATTACGTGATAGGTCACACCAACAAATCCACACCTCCCACGAGACTAGTGTGTCAGATCTTCATCTTTCTTTCTTGTTCTTGAGAAGGCATCCCCTCCATACTTTGCCGACGAGCCCTTGTATTCGTCTTCCCTCTACCTGCCACTCCGGTGGCCCGTTGCAAGGAGGAGAATCCTAGTGCCTTCGCTCATGTTAGTAGTTTAATTAGCTTAGGGTTTCTTAATCCTTGCAGGTGCGCTGCTCGGGCGGATCGCAAGGGTTGGTCGCCACGACTACGACTTCAGGGGCTGGTCCTTAGGGGCACGTGCTCGAAGACTTCCTGGCTGTCATCGACAAGGTTAAATTGGCTCTGATAGAGGAGTGGAGACAGCGACACGTCGATGACTCGTTCTGGCGACGGTAGTGGTTGTTCGACGGTCTAGAGCCCACGATGTAATTTTTGTTAAGTTTGAGGCCTTTGTACTTCTTATTATGAACTTTTATAATAGATATTGATCTTTTTCACAGAAAAGAGAGAAAAGGCATAAACTCTTCGTGGATCAAAAAACTTCATTGAGCTGCAAAAACTTGAAGATACGACGATATTTTACCTTCCACACCGGGGAGATCATCACTCCACTCGAAAAGAATGCTAGTCCAGTCATCAGTTTAATCTAACAACCTTTTTTCTTGTCTCAGCATAGCTAGTGCCTTCAAAGACGAGTAGCTATACTGCTACATGTCATAGGCATCGTGTGTGCTGATAAGATGCTTTCGTTTGCGGACACTGACAATGCAGCAATATTCAACTAGGTTAATTTA